ATAAGTTACAAAGTGCTCGGACACACACTTTACACGATGACTTCGAGTTATAGATAGACAGTATGGACAACATGATTCCGAAGACGATGTAAGTAGACGAACTGTCCAGTGTTAAAAGACTAACTGTTTCCAGTAGAATTCGAAAAGTGGGTGAAGGGAGGACGGTTGAGTTGAAATCTTGCTTGGAAACCAGCAATGACTAGAGACGAACTACAAAATCGAAGAACACAGTGAATTTGTACATATTACGATGGAGAGCTGAAGACGGTGGGAATGAATAGTAGAGTGAGATTATGACAGACAAACAATAAGGTGGTGTATTTGGAAACTTAATGGTGAGTACGACTGAGTGAGTGAAAATGCAAACCAAGCGGGATGTTTCGCGACAGAGAAAAACGCATAGTAAACTTGTCGCATTACTACTAGAATTAGAGAGGCGAATTCACTCAAATACATCTTTTCGGAAACTCCTCATCAAGTGTGTCAACAAGTGGATAACAACCAAGGCGATCAGACCATCAATGACATAATGACATACTAATAACAAGCAATAACAACTAGGAAAAACAAGGTGGCCAGCCAATTATTATCAATGTGTACGTTTCTAGGGGTAGAGGGATACAGGAACTATTGTCTCATCACAATATTCGCTTTGACAATCACTTGAGAAATTAAGGGCAAGTATGATAATGAGAATGAAATGATAATGAATACAAAGATGACAGTACAACTAAGGATAATTGATGTTCTCCGATGAGAAATAACAAGGGCGAACGACTGTTTTTCAATAACTTCTTTCTCAGAATTTACAATTATAAATCCAACCATTCTAGCACACATTAGCCAATGAAGACAAGTCGGGATAATATCAGACAGTGTATTGTGATACAGGTGGTGGGTCAGTGAAATCATAGTCAGTGGAATTCGCTTGTCATCCGAATTCATTTATAATATGCGACCAATCAGACAGATGATGAGATGACATGAAGTTGAGCCATTCAATGATGTGTTTCAAATAGGTATTCGAACGTCATCCATGTATGCATAGACGCACAACATCATGAATGAGGAGTCAGAAGATTTGATCAGCTTTGCATGGATGAAGGAAGATGCGAAGATTCTCGAGGAGACAGAAGAGCGTATTGACATCTACAATTAGGAGATAACCAGGATGAATGACGGTCAGGTGATAGGAGTATATTGGGACGAGCGTATTAAATATAGGTGTGACTTTCAGAGATGCACTCAATTCGTGCATATGTGCGACTAGATAGCAATGTGATGTCAATCAAGTGTTGAGTCGTCACTCTTTCTGAAACAACTTCAAACACATATGAATGACGTCTCTTCATTCTCGGACAATTACCTTTGACTTTTTCAGCCTTCCAAATGCACTCAGACTTATGCCTGTGTACACTGAAAACAGCGTGCAAAATGAGGTTATAGGCTTCACTGGCCACCACACGGGCTGCAATCTATGCCGCTACTTTCAGGCATCCCGTGCACCATACGCTTTTGCATTGGCTTGTTATCACATCTGCTATGTTTATTGGGGATGTCGGACACCGCGTTATATGTATCATCCTAATGGTGAACTACAACAAAGCTTATACCACGTGTCCAACGTTTACAGATGGTAGTCACACTAAGCCTTCGCTGTTTCCTGGCGTAATAATGAAAATATGCAGTGGAGACCACAGCTCTAGTGTATAACCTTAGCATGTGTGAAAAAAGGATTTCATCAAAAGTTTGATTCAGTCAGTGTCTTTTATAAATTACGATAGTGTTATCAGAAGACGGAGACTATCCGAAAAATTCGATGTCGTATATGTGCAATACAATTTGAACAACCTGATCCCTCATACATTCAATTTTCAAGTCAATTTTGATATGGTTGTGTTCTCTGAGCTGGATAGTTAATTTGCGAAGCTTTCATCGCCATAATAGGCGACATCTTCAGTTTGAAGCTACATGGATTTCACCAGATGGACACACCAAAAACCAGATAGACTTCATTTCAATCTCAAAGAAGTGGAGACGGAGCCTACTGGACACAAGGTCGAGGAGAGGAGCAGATGTGGGTTCAGACCACTATCTAGTACAAGGGACTTTCAAGGTGAAGCTGAAAGCCCCGAGGATACCTGGGGATAGGCCACAATGCAAGTTCAACACGCAAAAACTGAAGGACACAATCACACAGGACATTTTCACTGCAACTGTTAGAGCAAAGCAGGAAACACTACGTGGCATCACTGAAGAATCACGCGTGGAAGACCATTGGAACCCTCTGAAGGTAATCTTCAACGAAACGTGTTCAACGGTCTTAGGAAGAAAGAAGAGACAAGACAAGGAATGGCTCTCAACGGACACTTGGAAGCTAATAGAGGAAAGGAGAATGGTGAAAGAGAAAATGATTCAATGCAAAGATAGACAAGTGAAAGAGACGCTGAGCTCAACTTACACAGCACTGGACAAAGAAGTGAAGAAGAGTGCCAGGAAGGACAAAAGACAATTCTACGACAACCTGGCTACTGAAGCTGAGAAGGCAGCGGTCAAAAGGGACCTGAGGACACTATATCAGATAACAAAGTATCTATCCGGGAAGAGATCAACACAAGTGAAACCTATGAAAGACAGCCAAGGGAACCCAATTACCAAGGAAGAAAGACAGATTAAACAATGGGCGGATCACTTCAAAGGACTCTTGAACCGACCACCACCTACAACCCGCTCAGAAATACCAACAACAGCACGTACACAACTGCAAGTTGACACCAACCCTCCAACGAAAGCTGAAGTCTTGAATGCAATCGAGATTCTGAAAGCTGGAAAAGCAGCTGGACCAGATGGAATACGCCCTGAAAGCGGACCCAGAGACGACAGCAGATATGCTGACTCCATTATTGCAAAAGGTCTGGAAGGAGGGAAAGGTTACCTCGTGAAACTACCAAAGACGACTTAGGACTCTGCAAGAACTGGCGAGGAATCATGCTCCTATCGACGCCAAGTAAAATTCTGAGTTGCATCATCCTGGAGAGAATAAAGGACGGACTGGATGCAGAATTCCGACCAGAACAAGCTGGGTTCAGGAAAGGCAAATCATGTTCTGAGCAAATAGCAACTATACACATCATCATCGAACAAAGCATGGAATGGCAATCAAACCTCTACCTCAAATTTATAGACTTTGAGAAGGCCTTCGACAGCGTTGACGGCGAAGTAATTTGGAAACTACTCGAGTACTACGGCGTGCTCCAAATATTCATCAATCTTATTCAGCAGCTGCACGACAACGGCACATGTCAAGTGATCCACAACGGAAAACTCAGCGAGGTGTTTGGAGTAAACACAGGAGTCAGACAAGGGTGCTTACTATCACCAATTATATTCCTAATTGTGGTGGACTGGATTATGCGTCAGACAGTGGGAAACGGGAAGACAGTTAATTATGATAGGGGAAACTAGGCGAAATGGAACAAGAGTATCCAATGATCTTAATGGTACTTGAGTTAGCAGGAAATAAATATTGATTTTCAGTAAGCAGTTACCATAGGTCCCATCGGATGTCTACAACTGTGTACATGTGTTCGCTCCAGTGTCTGATTTAGTTACCCCAAATAACTTTCGCGAATCAACAGAATGTGTATCCCTCTTTCAGCTTTCCCAACAGAAGCACCTCCAAGGCACGTGGGGTTTAAGGTACAACCATTCCTGTGTCAAATATATTTGAACCTGAAGCTGGCATTTTAAGAAGTTGCTTGAAGGTGAATAACTTCGTGAATTTTGTCATTCAGGGCGCTCAATCCCTGTTAGTAAATATTGAAATCGCTCAATTAAATTTGCGATTTTCGATGCTCGTACTTGGCGCTGCTATCTCTACCGCAAGATTTTTATATTCGACTCACTGCTCGAATGCCTCTGTTAAAACCTCCGCCTACTCATCTTAGTAGATAGACAATGAAGGTAGTCTGATTCAAACATGTGATGGCAACGAATCGAATAGTTATCTCTTAACCGTTGATTTTGAAAATGAACCTTGACAACGTGTGCCAACACACACTGTAAGTATTCTGGGATCCTGTGCATCTGATTACATACGATATTGTCTACATCATCGACAATTCGTAAATATTTTAGCCCTCAAGATACCTACAACACTATAACTCTTGTCTTTGCGAAGTTTTGACAAACTCCTCACAATTTAAAGGGGAGAAAAGTCGTTATATATATGTATATATATATATATATATATATACTTCTATTCGAAATACAAAGTTTTACTTTGCTTGTTGCACTAACTGACCCCTCACCATAACACAGTAGCCATATAAATCGCCGAAAAGAGTCTCTTCGTTGAACGTCTTCTCTCTTTCATATAAATCAGTGTATAGAAACGAAGCAAAACACCTTGCAATGACTGTGAGTTAAGTCAGCTACATAGGTCAAACTGGTAGATCAGGAGTGGTCAGATTGTCGGAACATAAAAATCTGGCTGAGGTAAGAATGGTTGACCCCGCGAAGATAAGTAATTTAGAAAAAAGCTCAGCGATTGCACTACATGCATTAACACACAACCACAACACAATAGGGTGGCACAGAATCGAAATTATAAGAAGTAATGTAGGATGGTGGAGAAAGAGGTTGATTACTGAATCCTGCCTGATTCATCGAGTCTACACCCAACACGTGCAATAGGAATCACACATCAATCATACCCGAAATATGGAAAGTACTATTACCAATCAAGTCAAGCGATGAAAAATGATCGAATTATATAAACGAAGTTAGAAAGTTATGTGAGTAGTACCTTGATATGATTATGAGTGGCAATAAATTCTGCTCGAAACGTTATCAGCAAATATTACTGTATGACTTTATCAAAATAAAATTTTATCCATCATGAAGTGTATGAACAATTTGCACATGTGAATTATAGTTTCCTGACCCTTGATACTTCTGTCAAAAATAGTAGTAAAACTTTAAAATACTAAGATTAATTTCACGAAGTTCTATATTCATCTGTATTTTGAATGGTAAAAAATAATCTGTACACTTTCAAAGAATCCTGCTCACAAGAGTGAGTGATAACAGGCAAAAGAAAATGTAATCTCTCTGTAGATTTTTATGGATTTAAATTTAGAAAAATATATGCCTAAATGCAAAATTCTGTAGAAATGCAGTAACCGACCACTATACTTCTTCTTCTAAACACTGTTCGAAAAATCAACAACAACAACAACAATAATTATTGAGTTCACTTCACTCATATCAAGATGACATCACCACTTTCCACATATGGTCGAATACAACTGTATGGTAAAAGATGTTGAGCACCAGGTTCCAACGTCAGTGACACAGACCTAATATAGTACAAAAAATGCAGCAGTGTATATACAGTGAAGACAAATTTACAAAAGAAATAACGAATGCATTAAAACAATCATCACAAATGAGATATAAAAAAATGTTGACAATGCTTATTCTCAAAAAGAAAGTACGATGATTCAGAGTAATTCCTGAATTCTTTGTTCATATAAGAATCCCCAACAGGAAATGCAGGATGTGCGTTTGTGTATCTGATGGTTAGTTAGACATTTATTTAATTCAGACATCTAGAAAAAACAAAATAATTCAGCAAAGAACATCCTTCTGGATAATATGGTGAAGCAATAGTAATGAAAATAGTCATTGAGTTAGGTAATAAAGAACAGTTATATAAGCGTAACATATTAAATAATGGTATTTACGTATCGCTTTGTGTCTTACAACTTAAAAGTAAATATAAGTCTATTGTAGGGTAACGCTCTCCTTTCCACATATTTATCTCGCTGTAATATAATAGCCACCCGAGGTAGGTGGTTTATACTTCCTTACGTGGCTTCTATCAACAGTCAAAGTCTTTATGAATCGAAGTTACGCTAACGGTCTTACCATTAGTAACCGTTTACCAACATAATTTGATCAGTCAGAAATGCTCGTCGAGGGAGACAGCGGTTAGACACCAGTAACACACGTTACAATGTATTCATGAGATTTGAAAGGAAATGAAATGTGACTGCGTAAAGGCAATCTTTGCTCGACTGACATTCATGCTATTCAGTTATCTATGTAAATCTAAACGAGTAGGATGAGATTCGAAGCAGTAACATATTCAATAAGCTGAGAATGTCATTTGGTGAAATTTATTTTCCAGAAGTTCTGAACAATGAACGCTAAATTCCCACATTGAGATATGAAAAGATATATCACAACAAGAAATTTTATTTATCATGTGTTAGTGAACTCTGTCTCAATGACTGAATGGTGATGTGCTCGTCTCCTAACCTGAAGATTCTGCCGATACGATCCCTGGTGAAAATATCCATGTGTACTGAAGAAGAGTCCCAGACTTCATTAGTAACTCTTCACTATCCAAATAAATTTGACTTGTTACTGGCTTTTCAACTATATCCAATATACAGTTTGAGAAATTCAGGTTGACTAGTACATCCATTATGACGTCACCTCTGGTGTAGGAGTGATATCCAGCTATCAAAAAAGGACGTGTCTACTGAGAAGCAGGACAATTCGCTCTATGCTTCCTTATGAATGTGAGATGCGCTAGTTGATAATGGAAGAATTACAGAGGATAGCTGCCTATGACCATAGTTATTTGCACCGCATCTCTCGTGTTAAGCAATATCGACTGGTGGTTTGAACCACGTAGGGATGTGGAGATCACCTCCTGCTTAGGGTCCTCGATACGTTAAGATTCAACGTCTCAAGATTGTTGGTGACATGACTCAAAATTGTCGTTAACAGAGCAGGTGTGTTTACTCTTTATGAACTCAAACGTCCGTCAAATTACCGTTATTCTCCATGTGCTTATTCTTCATCACGCATATATCCGTTCGTCATACTTCTTTCGAATCTATACCTGTTTTATTTGAACAACAACTTGAACTGATCTACACTTTTGTGCAAAGTTCTATGTTGGAAACTCAGTCAGACATCTATTCTGTAATACTATCTGAACTTACACTTATCTATTCCCTTCTAAATTATTCCCTAAGTTCCGTAAGAGCGTTTTCTGGAAAACAATTACCGGAATTCAATTTGTTTTTATGAATTATCTGTTGAATATGAAAAAAAAACGATTGCATAGCTTCTGAAATAATTCATCAAAAAACAAAATGTTTCTTCCCTATGAAGTTTTCCTTTTCTTACATATAGATAACAAAAAAAGCAGGTATATATACAACAGGTATGGTAAGTAAGGACTAGTTAAAGAGTAGTGATTCACACGCAGACGACTGACTCAATGATCGTGAAGCTGCGGGAATCAGAGTAAACTAAGTTAATTCAAATGAAGAAATAGTTTACTCGTGGAAACTGTTCAGATAAGCGTAAGAATATTAAACGAGGTCTTTAATTTACAATTTTCAAGAATTACTTTCACTTTTTCATAGAAGCGACTGTCTGTGTTTGTGTAAACCACCATTAGAACGAGGATAAGAAAAACAGAGTCGGAGTCAGGTGATCAGTTTAGCCTAAAGAACCTTTATGTGTGAAATGCTCTCCTTATATCCTGAATAGAAATCCTCATTTAATAATAAACTCAATTTATTCGTTATTGGTGTATTATTTATTTTCAAGTGTTTGTATGCAGGGATTCGATCGATATCAAATATGATCACAAAGTAACTTCAGCTAGAGAACCACTGAAAACCAGAGAGTATTGAACAGCTGTTTTGTCCTTGTTCGGGACTAGTTATCAGTGCGCACGTACGTCCCCACCTGGAGTCGAAACCAAGACATTCATCTTACAAGTACAGCTCGTTGACCATTCACAGCCGTTGGGACGGAATCCAGTGGCTGATCAATTCTAAATTCTGCCAGTCAGCGGTCTATAGAGCAACTGACGTCTTATGCCTGCAGTGAGTATCTGTACTCAAGGTCAACTTGGTGGACCCCAATGATCACGACTTCCCTCTACAAGTTCATTCCGTAGACAATCACTGGTAAGCACTCGATTAATTTTCAAGTGTTGTTTTGCAAGGATATGATTGATTTTCAGTCTCATCATCACCGAACAACTTTGGTTAGAGAACCACTGAAAATCAAGCACTACTGGGGCAGTCGTTTTGTCCTTGTATTACCTACTACCTACCTACCAACGAAGAACCTATTGCTTAACCAATATGCCGAAGAAAATGGAGATGGACCGGACACACGCTGAGAAGACCGTTGGGTGACAAGTGCGCCAGCCATCCATCGAGTGGGACCCACTTGGGAAACGACGAGTCAGGTTTGAGCGTGAGGGTGACATGAGGGAGATCGGGTGAAGAAGGAATGAAGACCTATGGGCAATCGTGGAGACAGCTACAGAGGACTGCAGAGAACAGGGCGAAATGGAGATGTGCTGTTGAAGGCCTATGTTCTGACAAGAACCCAAGAGAAAAATAATAAATCGATCTATTATACGGCTATCACCTACAGAAGCCGTGATTGGTTGGTTCAAAATTCATCGAATACATCATTCGTATGCATTTCTATTCTTTAATTTAGCGATTCACAGTTATTTACAGATAATATATAAATTCTCACACATATAACAATCTGTTGTTTTACCATCAAAAGAGACGAAGAAAAATAAACGCACTTACGTTTGACTACCATCGGTATTATAATCGAATGCTTCAATGTAGTCAATTTTCTTCAGCGACCGACAGAAGACATAACTGTTTGGATTTGGATGAAATGCTTTAAGAAGGTGAAAAAGAAGACTTATGATGATATTAAAAACAAACAGAAAGAATACTTTGAGTGACACTATCCTTTTGATATTCTGCTTGATACTGGTTGACAGTGTTATCCAGGAGTCACACTTCACCCTGTTTGAGACTCCTTAGTTGGGTGTACTTGCATAGCCAGTGAGTTAGCGCTGGTGTTCCTACTCAGACTCAAACTCAATACTCCCAAGCCTTTTCCAAACGGTAATCTCAAGGTATCGTCCTAGTGTCCTTACTGACTGACTGTTCTCAGCATAGAACTTTGCACAGAAGTGCAGCAGTTCGAGTTGACACACTCCATGTAGCCGACAAAGCAAGAGAAGAGAGTGAAGAGGTTCAAAAGAGAGACAACAAACACAAGCATAAAGGAAAAAGAAGAGAAATATGGAAGAACAATAGAATTTTATTAGATAAGAAATATCACAAAGAGTGAATGCATCTGCACCACTGAGAACGATTTTGAAACATATGCACCAATGACCTTAAATTGATAAATAACCATCATTGGCCTAGGAGTTCAATCTGTTATTTTGATCTTCACTTACTGACTTGAAATCACTGTTAAGTTTTCTAAACTTACTTACTAATTGTTTGTCTATGTCATAATTTTACTTCTACTTTTCACTCTCACCCTCTTAAACTTTCCATCATATTATGCATAAATTCACTCTGTTCTTCGATCTTGTTTGTGTCTCTAGTTGATCCTTATTTCCAACCGAAATCTTTACTCTCCTTTCCCCTTCTTGTCTAATTGTTCTATAAGTAGTTAGTCTTTTAACACTGAACAATTTGTCTACTTACGTCATTTATACTTCCTATCCATAACTCCACGTCACTAAGAGTGATTTCCCAACTGATGTTTTGATGTTGTTAAGCATGTACATAGCTGAAGAGAATCCACAAAATAAAACAAGCTCGTAGTATCCTGAAAATATGTTCGTTCTCTCTTTGTTTGAACTAATCACGGGAAGCGGTTATATCAAAATTATTCTGAACTCAAATTAAAAGATGACAATTATAAAATACTTTCAAAATACAATTTAAATCGGAAACATCATGACAAAGGATAAAAGCGTCGTCGACATATCTTTTGTACAACAGTAATATGTCGATTGTTGATTTGAAGATTCTGTTTTCCGAACTGTTCATTAAGCAATCTGCGAAAAGCGAGTCAAAAAGTGAGTCCACGGTAATTCCATTCTTCTGCCTTTAGATATCGTTGTTGAGGGTGAATTGCACATTAAATGTGCGTCTCAATAACAACAACACAGCCATCGTACGGCTAAATCCAAATCTATGTACACAGAAAGAGACAGTGGTGAATCCGGCAATGCCTTGGTGATTACAAAGCGAGCAAATTTCATGTCATCTCTCCTGTTTAGAAAACTTGATTTCTTCGTCTAAACATGACTCATCTGTGACAACTGTAGTTGAAACGATGCTGCTCAGCAAGGTAAATGAAAGAGGTGATTTCCTTTAGATTTCTCCAAATGATGGTGATTGATCCTTGTTGTTGGTTAAGTATGTTCACCACTTCTGTCTTCGCTACCCTTTCTGAAAACCTGTTGGTTTTCACCTGTAGATCTTCGAGTTTGTGTGACATTAGACACGAATCACCTGCGACTTTCAAAGTTTCTACAGTCTTTTTGTTGGCTGAAGTTACGTCTGTAAATTCACCATCCACCTTCTACTGCATGATCCAGCCGACCATAATCAGAAATATCATCAGTGACAGTAGACGGTCTTGTCTTCCATCGTGAATCACTAGTATGTGCCATCATCATATGGCTATTCAACGAGGTTGATAAAGGTTTGGAGCATTCCATAGTGTTGAGCAGTCTCCAAATTACTACACAGTTGACATTATCTAAGGCCTTTTGAAAGTCGGTGAAGCTGAGGTAGAGCGCTGTTATCTGTTGTAGGCTCTGTTCGATGATGACGCGTAGCGTTGCAACTTGGTGCACACTTGGTGTGCTTTTGCTGAATCCAGATTGCTCCAGGCGAGATTTCACCTCCAGGACAGCTATCGGCCTCCCCACAAAGATGCGGCTTGACATTTTGCTTTCAGTGGACAGAAGCATGATTCTGCACAAGTCTTTGCAAATGTTTAAGCCATTCCATTTCAGCAGTTTGACAAGATAGCTCTTCTTTCAATCGGTAGCTACTTGTTCTTCCTTCCATACCTCTTCCAGTGGTGACATGAGCATATCAGCTGAGGTTTCTGTGTCGCGATTTGGTGCTAGATAGACGTGTAGCGAAAACCATTAAAAGTTCGACACTAGGTCAGCTGAACCAAACGGACCATAAAGGCAGCGCATTGAAGAATCTTCTTCTGTCATCTGTTGCGTACCGAATAAAATGCCAAATGCATCCAAGTACCGCTTAAAACAACCAGAACTTTACGTGCAAAAGAAATAGGTGCAGTCACCATTGTAGTAACCCTGACATCCTGTGAAATATTATAAATTAATAATGTCGACCTGAGTCATATCTTCCTCGTTATTGTTGTGGGCAGTTTTCCCGGCTGATTACTGTTAGAGGTCAGTGTCTGTCTTTTGATATTCACGTGGCTCAGCGAAGCGGAAGGTATTATGGAAGAATAACTGTATCTAGCATTTCGGTTGAGTTGTCCTTTGTGTTCAGTGTTATTGTACCCACGTACAAGTTCACTCAGTCACATCAACTGTCAACGAGATTATGTCGCTCTATTATGTCATTCGTATGTCAAACTTCATCTTGATAACTCTCAGGCAGAATGATGGTCAGACTGTCTTAAACAGCCCGGGTCGGTGTTTTTCAAGTAATGGTTAACAAGGATTTGATTGATTTCAAGTTCAATGACGAATTGACATCGGTAACAGATCTATTGAAAGCCAGAGAAAAACGGGACGGCTGGCTGTTTCGGCCTAGTTTAGGACCTCCCAGAGGCAAACACCCACGATACTACCTGAGAACTGACTCATGACTTTAAGGTGACGGTCATTCAACCGCTAAGACGAAAGACAATGACCTATGTGTTCTAACTCCCAAAAATTCGCGATATATAATGGTGTCACCAGACAGTCATGGACGATTATGTGTTCTCACATCTAACTTGATAGACCCCACTAGAACTCCAGCAAATCCATCGTGTACTTAGTCAACCATATACAGTAGTTTAAATTTTCACGTACTAGTAAGGTTGAAGTGAAAGTCTCTTAGGGATGTTATCGCTACTTAGATTTTCACTTCACCAACAATCATTACCCATTACATCAATTAAACACGCATTATCAAGTAATTAAACAGAATAATAATAAGAGACTCACCTAATTCTTCATCTTTAACAGATTGCATATTAGCCGGTAAACGATTGATAATATTGTTCTTTAAATAATCTCGAATACTGTTTGCATATCTACAGGAACAACAACAACAACAACAACATAAATCAGTGTGGTTAACTGTTCTCGTTTCATTTTTCTTTTAAAACATGTCAACTTACGATTTGGCGAAAAGGTATTCTTCTACAGTTAGATGCGGCGGATCATTCGGATTACGTGATCGTTCTTCAGCCAAGACATGCTCAGCGAATCTTTCAATCTTTCAAAAAGAAAGAAAAACACCGTCGATTCAAACACCATCAACATGTATTCAACGACGAAATAAAGTGTTAAGAAAACTAATTAAATGATATTTGAGATAACGATGCTACCTGATATATACATATATATATATATATATATATATATATATATATATATGTATTTACGGATCAACGATAGCTACTCATTTTATCTATGACACATGACTGACCAATGCAGCCGAAAGAGTTTGGGTCACGAATACCTTTGATCCCTTATGTTTAAGATGAAATGCCCAGGACAGAATTTTCGTGTATCAGACTGGGAGCCACACTTATTGTGTGAGGGCTACTACAGTTGTCCACGTACGGTCTGGTACGGCCCACAGTGGATAGACTCTGCTCTAGCCCTGGAAATGCTGTCATGTGACCATGCGTTCATAGCCTCCACCGCATAAGCTCTACTCACTACCACTACCACCCCGCGACAGAGGTGAAAGGGCAGGTCCGAACAGCTGATGCCTACAACAGGACAGGCGGACATGCAGGTCTACCGAGGTAAGCTCCGAAACCCCAATTTTAAACATGTGGTGTACATGAATTCCACATGCAAGGAAGCACGAATCCGTGACCCGCCGGATGAAAACTACATGCTTACACCAATGAGCCACATATCTCCACATTTGGTCTCTTGTCAATAATAATGGAAGATTGTATTTAAGTCAGTTACCATAATGATTTTTTCAAAAACTTGTCGAGAATTCCAACACAGAAGTTACTTAAGAGGTACACAGCAGGTCATATAGTCTTCAGGTTTTTGCCATACATTAATTGTAGTTTTCATTCAAATAATAAACGCAACACAACCATATGAGAAAACCAGTAATATGTCCTCAATGAAGTATAGACAAAATCGAATGACATGATTTCAAGATATAAAACAGAGAATGAAGCATCTTTACTCCTTTAAATAAACACCTACCTTGACCAAAATGACATGTACATTAAAATTCTTTTCAAAAATTTTCAACTCAAAACAAACTTTAATTATTCAACTATTGAATATTAATTACCTTTTTAATACGAACCCGCATATAATCTGCAATAATAAAACGGATTCGTTCAACCTGTTGGAAAACAGCGATGGAATACAATAAATACTTGGCAAAACAGTTATCATATTAGAAAAACAACACAATGATCCAGTATAAAAAGCAACGTTTCCCAAAAACAACGTGGTATGGCCAAGGGTTGGTAGACTTCGGTCTTCATCTGGAGAAGCTCTCATGTGCCACGTCTCCATAGCCTGTGATGGGTAAGTCCTACTCACTGACCTTAGGCGACGGGAGTAAAAGAGCAAATGTGAAAGTCTGGCGCTTACAACCTGATGGGTAGAGACACATAAGTCTACCCAAAATTGTAGCTGCAAAACTCTGATACTAAACCTATGGTGTACATGGGATCTAGAATCCAAAAGGACACAGTAGCGTATCAACCTGTTTTGTTCACTAGAAACTATTGGAACACAGATCCTGACGCTGCTCTGCTGCCTTGTGGGTCAGACTTCAAGTCAAAGGCTCAAGAGTGTCCCTCACCTGCTTCGGTCTGGATGTCTCAGCAGGTAATCGCAGCTCTCGCAAAATCCATGACGCTTTGCGTGACGCATTTGTAGGGTGTGCTCATAGTGTACCAAGTTTGTGTTTTAATAAATATATAAAATAAAAGTAAACTGATGGAAATTACTCAGATGAAGAGTATCGCAACACAATATACACTACACATAATTAAGCAGCAACACAGACAGATCATGTCCACATAAGTCATTGTTGATAGAAGTCAAAGATCAACTATAATCTTGAAATACGTGTGTTACATCTGACGCCATGGTATAAAAAAATTGGTACAGACAGTTAACAACTGGAGGGTAGGTATAAACCACTGAATCAATGTAGACTCATTTTAACTGACTCATCCAAGAACATTCCTTCCGGTGGATTTAGAACATAAAGAGCAGCGAAAATTACTGAAATACAAACTGACTAAAAGTCTTCGTAACAACCGAAATCAGTTGTAGATGACGAAAATGAAAACAAGCGGAAAAGCTATCTACTTTGATTGGACACTAGTACCTAGTGTGATGTGTTTACTCCTTTGTTTGGTGCAGACTGAATTCTATTAGTTAGATTTCCAATGTGGTCAGCATGTTAGGTAGCTCGTCATCACAGTTCACTATGAATTGTTGATGTTAGATGGTTGTAGGAAACGTCTGGAAGCCTTGGACCTAGGTTTCGTGTTAGTTGGCACTCACCAGTCAGCAAGGCATATCTGCAACCTTGAAGGAACTAATATACCTTCTGACTGATAGAATTCAGTCTGTTGAACGCTCCAAAGTTTTTATCGCCAACAGCTCCAATATAATGGCCTATCATCCAACATTGTCAGGTTGAGTAGGACGCTAAAGTATAGTTGTCAAGATAAATGGAAACCTCTAGCAAACATTGGCGCATTAAAATCAGATGTATGTCATGACGATATTGGCTATCACGATAGCTGGTGTGGCTAATGAGTTAGTGGCTAAAATCTTTTTGTCTTGCAATAAGATATTGGTAGTTAATTTAGAAAATGCTAGGCTTACTTTCGGACTTATACAATACTTCAGTAAATCATAGTGATGAAGCGTCTCTGCTAAGGATCGATAAACAAAAATTAATATGTAGTCAGACAAAAACAAATCAGATGTCATGTGTTTATGGTGTGACAGTGATCATGGTCAGTCTGGATATTTTCGCTCACGACTCAGTCCTTGGCCAGGTCACATCCATTCAATAATAATAATAAAGCTTTATTTCAGACAGTATGTGAACATAACATCAGAAATTTTCAGGACATTTGGTCCCAAAAATACTGGAAAACTACAAGTCTTTCTATCTACACGACCGACGGTGACTCCTCAATTGAAAGATGAATTACCTAGACTAGCCACTACTAATTGTCTCTACCAATTCAACTGTGCTTGTGGGGCGAGTTAAATTGGCCGCTGCTCTAGGAACTTGTATTTTCGTGCTCTGGAACATCTACCTGTGTGGCTAAATAAACGTGTAGTGAGAACCACCAGTAGTTCAATATAAAACACCTGGTACAAACCAGCCACGAGGCTAATAATCAAGAGTCCTACACCATCATCTATCGGGTACCAAACAAATTGCCAAAAACATCCTGGTACCACACACTCCAAACATCAGAGGCTATCGCGATTCGTCTGAAACTACCTGTGTTCTGTGTGCAGAAGAAGCAAGTCCAACCACTACCACTGCCCTGGCCAGCCTTCAGTGGCACTATAAGTTCATGAATTTGTATTATTATCTTTCCTATTTTTACTGCTATTCAGTGTATTACTATGCTGACGCTATCGAACTGTAATCCATTGATATTATTATTGATTCGATGTTATTTAAACAAGATTAATGTTGTTAATATCACTAATTCATTCACTATTATGTGTATACAACTGTAGAACCTGATGATGAATTTATCGAGAAGAATATTCTCTGTTCAGTAACCATTCTTTCCAAAATATTTGCTCTTTGTACAGGATTTGCATGTAAAGTAATAACCTGAAGTATATCATGTGATGTAACTTTGCTGTATATGAAGAGAGAACCGATTCTGTACACTTTTTCCCCATTTCCTTCAAAAATTGCACAGCAGTTAGCGGGAAGCTAATTATATGTGTGTGCGGCTTCATGAAGTGATCATTCGATATAAGTGCATGTTTAAAACAATAAGAAATCCAGAAGAGTTTAAGCATTTCGATGAATGGAAATTCTGGTAGCCCAGTGATTTAAGCAGGTCGCCGCGATATCTTCATCTCTCACGCACACGCCATTGACCATATACATATCGTTCTTTCCAGTGGAAAACTTACTTATACGGATACTGTTACATATACCTTCCATCTCACGTCATTATGTGTTCTCGCTAACGTAGAGCGGGCTGAGAAAACAGGTAGCTGTCGTATAATGTTGTTGGCGTAGTCAGCCGATAGAGTGGTCAGCGCGCCTGTGCTCAACATCGGTACACCTATCGTATTTCAATCTCAATGGCTATTGAGAAATTATACAGTCGCAACATCATAACAGAAATCAAGGGTGAAAACTTATAGTCGATTGACTCCCAATATCTAAGGCCGAATGACAACACCCACGATGTCGTACTACGACCCATTCAGCTTACTCACCGTTTTACAAACTTACTCAATTGACGTTGATTAACACTATGGACTTGTGAGGTACATCGCTTATAACTAAATGACCTAGTCATATACATCACTGGATAATATGCATACTGAAATACAATTTGCAATACTTCCACTTACTTGAATTCGTTTCATTTGAGCTTTTAAATCACCAGCCGGTAAAGATTTCGCTTCAGCCTCCAATTGATTCACTTCAGTTTGAATAAGACCTAATAAGTCAGAATGTGCAGTTAGCAGTACAGGTGCAATCTTTTCATTTTGCCATATCTGTAAATGTGTATATGAAAGAATTCTGAATCATCAGACACTTATTACACAGAAACAATCCAGTTTATTTTAGAAATATCACCCAGAACTTACCGTGTGGATATGTGAAGCAACTAGCGAAAACACAGGGTTTTATCTTAACAGATACAAAATTCAAGTTATGCTACACCTAATTAAGCCTTCATGCAACAATTTTACCAGATGGCGTGGTACGTACGAAATCTGTCCCAGGTAACTGAGTTACCACAATAAATACTAAGCTACTAATCGATACAATTCGAAATCACTGTGGATGCTGCATCGCTCAACTCCGGCTTATATTGGTACAGATTCAAATGGAGATCGATTCCAATATGATCTCGTCGATAGCTGATATGACCGTCTGGACTTACACGTGGGTATATTAACACTGAACACCATGGACAACTAAACTGTAATGCTAAATATGGTTATTCGTCCTCAGTACCTTCCGTTTCACTGAGCCACGTAACTATCAAAAGACAAAGACCGGTCTGTGACTGTTAGTATACGGACGGACGGCCGACTGACGGCGACAACCATAATGAAGACGACAACAAACAGGATGACTACAACGACCACTTATTAGACACAATATATGCCATATGTAATTTATAAAACCGTAGCATTGGGTGAGGCTCGTTTGAATCTCAAAAGGCGCATGTGTTCCTTCGAGGCTGCAGGTATACGCCTTGATGCCTGATGAATGCCACCTAGCACGAAACATAGGTCCAAGGCTTCCTGACGATTTCCTCCAACCATCTAACATCAACAATTCAAAGTGAACTGTGATGATGAGCTAAATGGAATGGTGACCACATTGGAAAGCTAACTAATAGAATTCAGTCTGCACCAAACAAAGGACTAGACACATCACACTAGTTACCAACTAGCATCCAATCAAAGTACTTATTACTACTAGTGTAACGACAGAACACAAGGGATAGGTAACAGATTATTTCTGGAGAAAGTCAAGAGGTATTTATAGACTTTAATGCACATTATTGTCAGCCTCTTCGGATTGGTTGTTTTCTTACCAAAAGTTATTCTGTTATCTCTTTGTAGCTGTTTCTCGGAAGATCAAGCTATATATCTGCGAATCATATTTCCACACGTTTATTCCGCTGTGATTGGTTGGTGATTTTCTCAAGGTTAAGGTTTCTTATTGCTTTTTCTAAATTACTTATCTTCTCGGAGTCAACCATTCTTATCTTTGCTAAATTCTTATGTTCCGACAATCTGACTAACCCCGATCTACTAGTCACAGTCATTGCAAGGTATTTTGTAAATTATAATATTTTGTTTAATTGGGTCCACCAGGTCTTTTAGCCTACAGAGCTTGTCTCTGAGTGAGTCTGTAGGTTTGAATGCGACTCTAATTCCTGTTTTATTGAGAATATTACGTAGGGCCTCAGATGTCCTCTCCTTATTAGCGTCGGTGGCACAGTGGTTAGGACTCTCGCCAACCATGCACATGGTCCAGGGTTCGATCCCCTACCGACGCACACCCGATATCTATGATCGGCCTGCAAAATTTGGGCTACCGATATCACATGCTGAAAATTCCACAATTGTACCAAAAATACGGTGTGGAATCAAGCTGTAATCAAAATCAAAAAAATTATGGTATAACCAGTAGATGCCTTATATTCTCTCTTATTTGTGTTATCATTATTAGTTTCACTATTATTTTTATTTTGCACCAACGCCTCTTCTATCTGTTTCATTCCATCGTTTAGGTCTTTTTCGTGCTACTTAGTGCTACTGCTCGGTTTGTTAGACACTTAACTAAGTCAGCCTTTACAGACAACGGATGAGATGAATTAAAGTCTAAATATCTATTAGAACGCGTTGGCTTTTTATAAACGCTAGTGTACAGTTTACCCTCTTCTTTTCGTTTGATAAAACAACCAAACATAGCTAATTCTCCTTGTTCATTTTCTGATTCAAATGTAAATTGTATTCCCCTCACTAGTGAGTTTATATGCGTCAAGAAGCTAGAGATATGTTCTGTTTCTAACACTGTGAAAGTGTATTTAGAGCAATATTTCCCAGCTGTCCATAGGGATATCTGCTATGACAGGGGATATTAGTGATCTCATCGCTACACCATCTGTTTGTTTATATATTTTCCTTGGAATTTAAAGACAGTAGGTGTGAGGTATAACTGAATTCCTAAAATAATTTCCTCAATGGGCAACTTTGTCCTATGACTAAGTTCGGGAGCAGAAGTTAGATTCCTTTTAACTGCTTCTAAGGCCATATTGATTGGTATATTAGTGTACAGACTAGTTATATCAAAACTGATTTTTTTTTCATTATTCTTTAATTGAATGGTATTAAGTTTCTTTTTCATTTCATATGAATTAGTTAGCCTATAGCTTGAATGATTTCTAATGGGACATAGTATTAGAGATAAGTGTTTTCATAATTCATACGTCGGCGTATTTCTGAAATCTACTATTGATCTCATGAGGTAACCTGGTTTATGTGATTGGTTGGTGATTTTCTCAAGGTTAAGGTTTGTTATTGTTTTTCTCATGAGCCTCATTCGGGACATGAAAACTGACATAAATTGTTGTCTAAAATTTCAGCTTGCAGACAGCTCTCACCACACTAGTAGTTACGCTAGCTTTGTATTGATCTTACTGTTCACCTTATTGGACAGAAATTATGCATTTAACATCTGTTCGGAATGGATTTCTTATGTATCAAGCCATTAACCACAATACTTGTATTAGGGCTGATTTTACTACCCAATTAACCTGGAATGATTCGAACCCATGACCCACTAGCTGAAAGCCCAGTGTTTCAGATAATGAGGTACATCTTCGCAACAACATTTGAGCTGGTAGTCCGTTTAACTAAACATCCTATCGCTTATCCATACATTCGTGAATCAAAAAAACCACAGATGAAACATTTTTCAAAACTCAATCACACTATACAAAGTGTGTCTCATAGTTCTTAACAAGTTGAACAAAAAAACAAACATACTTGATATAAACGTTCTAATAATTCAGCCGAAGTAAGTACCTCCTCATTTGATTGGCTTTCTTCATCTGAGTCTCCAATGATTTCATCAAGATCTGGTGCTAAAGGACCACTTGTACCGTTATGATATCTAGCCTAAAATAGTACGACGAAAAACAACGAATGCAAAGAAGTGTGGAGTAATTGCAAGTTAGATCACCAGAAGACATCAGTCAGCTGTTTCGTCCCAGTCCGTGGCACTCTTCAGTAGTACGCACCCATTATCCCATCGGGGGATCCAACCTACGACCTTTAATGTTATCAGAAGAACTTGTTGATCACTCAGCCATTCGAATGGAATCCAATGGTTCATAATTTCCAACTTTTGCAAATTCGTGATCTGACTTGAAACTAATCAAATCCCTGTGAAAACAACACGTAAAAGTGTAGAGTGACTGCTGAGAATATTCGTATTATTAGTCTGTCTCCACTTGAATCAACTGTTGTGTATGTGTGACATATACATTAGTGCAGAAATCACGTTTCACACAGACTGATAAGCTTATTCAGTAATAGTTTCACTAGTTCTATTCTGTCCTCTCAGCACTATAATAAATATCGTTTGCGTTTCCACACGATGTGACTTCTGTCTCATTCAGAATTCCTGCTGTAGTTCAAATTCTTGACTTATAAATTATCCCAGCCGACGATGACGATGATGATGATGTTAGCACTAGAGATCAGAATGTCTACATCATTCCTCTTCCAACTGATCAGCTCCACATACCTGGCATCTATGATCAAATTACTTTCAACAGTTGAACTTTACTCACAACTCCAGTGACACACACACACACAATCTTTTAGAGTTTTAGTAACAGTGAAAAAAGAATAACAAGGTATATACATATATTAATTATACTTTACATCAAATCACTGTCTGTACAAATTTATATTGCATAAATATCAACACTGTTTCGGTGCTAATTCTCTCAAACGCTTGATTTTCTCTTGTGGTCGACCAATTAACTGATAAGTTTGACTAGATTCATCGAATGTGAACGTGAATCTTCTACATCCATCAGGAACTTTAAATGAATGTACAGTCTTCAAGTGATGAGATATTGTACAAGGTTTACGAGCCTTATATGCTGTGCATATATGACATGAATACCATAAACCATCAGGATTACTACTTAAATGATAACGTCTATAATGAGAACGATATGCAGTTAATTTACTTGACTTATAGGTACAATCACCGACTTGACAACAGTATATGTAATCAGTAGTATTGACAACTGTTTTATAATATGGTTGTGAAACACGTTTTCGAGGATTTATAACAGCATTATCTTTCGATGCTTTGGAATTTATTACTCCATCAGTAGTAGTAGTTGTTGTTGTACTAGTAGTAGTACTAGCAGTAGTCTTCATTTTGTTTTTTGCCTTTGGACATTCATTTTTATGGATAGACCAACAATCTTTTGTTATAAATGCTCTAATACATGTAGGACATCGGAATAAAGCTCTGCCTTCGAGATGTTTTGGGAAATATCTCGATTCCTTGATAATCTTCAATTCAACTGGACAGTGGTTATCTTCACTGCCTGGAATCAAAGTCACACATACGTGTGTGTTGAAAAAAATAATCTGATTGACATTCATTTTCAAAAAAGCTGATCAGGGAACAAAGAATATGCTTTTCAATAACTTGGAAATTTTTGCAAATTATTAATGATACTAACTGTGTGCTCAAACTGCAGTGAGTAGTCTGGGATTCGAATTCGTAACCCGTAGGTCAAATATCAACTGTGCCAGAGTTCCACATTCAGTGAACTGAAATTCTCATTATCACCTGAAATCGTTGTAATAAAGGCTTCATTTTTTTATCGGACCACATTTCCACACAAATCTGAGATACTGTTGTAAAAAACTATATTGTTTTAGGTATGAAACAATTAGGGGTTTGAAACGGAGTTTCAACAACCACTCACAAAAATGAAGTTGCGGCAGGCAATGGAAATCAATTTGGAATACATATGCACTGATCAGAATCATTAACGTAGGACTCTGCACAAAAATGCATCAGTTCACATCGCTACACTTCAGAAAAGTAGAAGAAGTAAATGTTTATGAAATGTACGTGGAAAAGAATGATCATGCGAAGATTAGTGAGACATTTCACAATCCGGATAGTGAAAAAGAATGGGTAAAGGTAAACTGTCATAGCCAAAACTGAAGTGACCTTGGACATCCAATCGGAATTCAGATGCAAAAAGTCTCATAATCACTGAAAAATACACCAAGAAACACTGCAAACATTATATTACACTATATAGTTGTCGCGTATGCGTTGTGAGGATGTCTCTCAGTCACTACAAAGATCTATATAGAAATCACACCATGCGCGATGGATGCATTCATCCAGATGACTTTAGGTTATGATACTTTGAGATCCATTGATATTTATGACACTGTTCCTTAACCTACTCCTAACTCTAACCATAATCCCAACTTTAACTCTAATTTTAACCTTAACCTTAACCCTACATCCTAAACCTTAATCTCAAAAGCCGAAACTCGATCGAACAGTATAGATTTTCAAAGAAATTAACTAGAGAATAAGTAGAATACTGTGTCTATCCTCCCTGAGTCCAAAAGAGCAGGCTTGATTTCGTAGAGTCCCCTGTATCTGATTGGTTCTTGAAGGGCAACTTTCGAAACACCCTGACTTTGACTATGATACTTTAACTTCGCCAAGGAATGGTTACATCCACGCTATTCTGAAGAAAACTGAGTTATACCATAAAAAATCTCCAACCATTGATTTTTAACATCCTCAAGACTCTAGACAAGCAGTCTACACCTCCCTCCATACGTATCTCGCTCGAACCAACGGTCGGTCAAAGACTTAATGGAGTGGTGCCATATTTTCATCTCAAAACGCTTAACTCCCCACCAGGCTAATCTCAATTTCGCTGATATTGAGGAGGGAGGTGGCTTCGCGTGAGCATGAGACAGTGCATAAAGCTTCACAACCCCATCGACTGACTTTGTCTCCTCACTTAGCATTGAGTCATCACATTACTACTGATCATATTGCTTCATCTAACATCCGAGACCAAATAAACACACATTTCATCAACAATTATTAACTCTTTCACATCTCCCACTTGCAATACACACCCATAAGGTAAGACAAAGAGCACTGGATGCATAGTACATATATCCGCATATGAAGTTGGAAAATACCGAACCAGCTTTCTCTGTTCATGTGCAGATTTCGTTGATAAGCAGTCCATTAAGACTGATACGATTTCCTAATGCGAGAGAAGTGGTCAACAAATTCAATCGTCTCACTACCCATTCCCAAACTATGATCAACTTGTATTTGACGGGGGCGAGTTGCACAAAATACTCAGATTATTGCTCAGTGACAGAGTCTTCACCTAAAAGGACAATATTGTTTGCGTGCAGCAAATTAACGAGGTTATTCCCTGATAGCAAGTTAATCCCAGAAAAATCAAAGTTGACCCAACTCATATACATCAGCATATGCATATTTGACAAAATTAAATACGAATTGTAACACTATATATTTCTGATTGTCTTTGCTTCAAATAACAACTTGCTATAAGCTCTTACACGACGACATGAGTTTAAACATATTGAATTCATGAGTACAAGATACTTCCTCAGAGCCCCTTTCACAAACAGACATTACCACAGCACCTCTCTCGATTGACAGGGCCTTCGATTCAAGGAATATGGCAGGTGTGGGACACCGGCACGTCTACTTTTAAAACCTGCCGAAAGGGTTAAAAATATGTTCAGTACACCCTTGTTAGAGCCTGAAGTTTGGCTGGTTTCATCGGTTTTCTCTTGAATACATACGAGGTCACAGTCACGGCAACTTGCCAGGTAGATGATCAAGCGATATCATGAATATTACTGGAATTTTAATTTCTGACGTTGTACCTTTCACATCTGTCCTAGTGGTCGATAAACTAAAACCCACACCACATTTCTAATATTCGTTAAAGAGATGATTTATAAGCGGTTGACTGAATTCGCATTTCCACCAAGTACCCAACCTAAGTTATCGGAACCTTAGAAAACCGAGGTGAAGTACACAAACCTCCTTTGTATGATATTTTTTAGAATTTTTAGTAGTCCACAGGTCCTCTGGTGTTTTATAATTCATTTCTACTCCAATAGAATCAAAGATTATCGCATTTGGACCGTTTTGACAATCGCCAAAACAATTATGCATTTATAAAATATATAAGAATAAAATTCAGGCACTGTGGGACAGTTAAATCCCAACATAGAACCATTTGGTTTACCAGACAACACACAGTGATACAGTACTATCTACAGGTGACTTTTCGAGAACAATTTATTGCCCCCATAAACTTTGGTCTCCCTCTTGAAATGTGTTTTCATGTAACCACGCGTTCGTAACCTCCACCAGGTAGGTCCTACTCACTGCCCTCATGAGGGCTGGGTATTCCTCACAAAAGCGAAAGGCCGAATGAGAACGTCTAGCGCCTACACAAACGGACTGGTGTACCTGGACACATGAATTTGAACAAGTCGGATGGTGGATGAACCTGTTCTGTTCACTGGAAACCATGGGAACGCAGCTCCTGACGTTGCTTTGCTGCCTTTTGGGTCAGACTTTAGGTCAAGGGTTCGAAGGGTAGCCCCTTATGATAACTACTTGCTTCAGTCTGAGCGTCTGGGAAGTACACCAACCCTTGCAAAAGCTATGAGATATTGTGGGGTGCATCTCTCGGTATCCATAATGTACCAAGTTTTTGTTGCTTATAGGCATAGAGCACAGCTTAAACACTAACTGGTGTTTATGCATCAGCGTATAAGTTTAAGAAAAACAACAACAACAACAACAATAGAATACCTGGCTCATTATATCTTATCACATTCTCTCGATCTCCAAGTAAACTCCATATAAAATGCTCCTTGAAATTAACAAACTCTGTAAAACAATTCAGGCAGCTAGAACAAATGTAATTTGGTAATCCAGTATGACGACGTACATGACGACGAAGTACCGAACGACGACTACATACAAAGTTACACGTATTTCTTTTATCATTATCTAATGATTGCCATAAACAAATTAACTGAGAACTATCTTCATGGCGTTCAGCATCATCCTCATCATCATCATCATCGCCATCATCATTATCACTATCCTTTTTTGAATAATCATGCTGAAAAACATGATCTACAAATAAGTAGGCTGAATCTGTACTGAAAAAAGGAAAGAACAGTTTTAAAAAACAAAATAAATAATTAAATGAACAAAAACTGATATCTTCATAACTATAAACTAAAATTATGAATGAATAAAAAGGAACTCGGGAATCGACATAAGGTAGAATTCACGGGTCACTAAATACAGAGCCAAGTGGCTGAATAGTCAACGACATTGGCCTTTGTAACCTGAAGGTCATGGGTTTGCCCCCTCGGGGTTCACGGGCACTTACCATTGAGGAATCCCGAACTAGACAAAACAACTGTCTAGTACTTCTTGATTTTCAATAGTTCTCTAACTGATATCAATACGTGACCGAATTTGAGAGAAATCACAGATAATAATGGTTAGTTAAACACTCAGATATGCGGAGCACACTGTTCATATACTAGTGTAACGAGAGGAGATAACAGACTCCATAACGTAAGTTTATTAAGAAAAAGCACAGTATATTCATACATTCTTAACCACATTAAGTTCGGCTGAGTAAGAAGAGAATAAATCATTCTGATTGGTTGACGACTGACCCAACATTAGACAAGCTGTCCAATGGTGGCATTTCATGTCCACAAAGTTAACTAAATCGAGATTTCAGGAATAGACACTTCATCCTCTCCAGTCGTTGAGTTGAAATGTTGACTTCAATTTTCGCCGCTTTCTACCAACCTGCCTCACGCCACACTAGGTTATTGACTATACACTTCACGTGTAAAGGTTGATGATACTACCCAGTTGATCGGATTGAAGTAGGTGAGAACGGATTCGAACCTTGAGTTCTACTGGCTGGAATTCCACTGATTAAGTCAATGAGCCACACGTCAACTGATCTTAGTAAAAAGGAGTACCTCAGAGAAAAGTCAGCTACTCTTGTCCATCCAACAACACAGAGCGATGTTATACGATGGAGCAGATCAACAGTCCAAAGAGATAACATAATTCACTGAAGTGAGGGGGTAGTTGGTCGATAAATGAATTTAGCCACCGCCAACCAAATTACAACAAGAAAAAATATATGCCTTCGTAAAAAATATGATTCAATTGTCTTGAAATTATGACAACAAATACAGAGCGTGATGATGCCCTACAGATGTCGAGTTATCCACATAATCAACTGAGGTGGACGTGTACCATCATAACCTCAAGCATCAAGGATACAGGTTATGCTTCTTAGATCCCAGTTTCGATAACCACGTACTATCAAAACACCTCACATAATAAGCATGACAAACAGACTGGTGAATTATCATATATTGTTAATAGGAGACACTAATCAACTAACTAAGACTACAGTGCTCACGGATTCTCATCTGTGACATTCAACAGTGGCCGTCTACTGCGTCCTTCTTTACAACTGTTTGGTGCGGCCGTCGAAAATTAAAGAAATAGAGAGGTTAGCAGTCTTTTACCGTAGATGTCTGTAGTCTATGTACAGTGTTGAGTGGCATAGTACGATGGGTAATAATGAGACTAGTTGCAGTGTTAGGTAATGAGGGCAAGTCAATAGATCTAGTTATGAAGCCACATCAATTGAAATGACTAAGACATGTGTTGTGCATGGCAAGCCATCGTCTTCCTCGTTGAGAATCATTGGCTAATATAAGATTGGATTGGAAAAGAATCAGGGGTGATTAAATCAAAACCTACCATTAATCACGATCAAGTGTCATGGTCTTTTGATTCCTTCCACCCACGTCAAAAGGTGTAGACTGACTGGCTGAAGTCATAGAGACGCTAAGAACCAATGGTTTGAGACAATTGGTGAAGTAGCACAAAATTATCCTCAGTGGTGAAGAAGTATTCACGCTTTATTAACTGCTAGATCCACTAAATTCTCATTATTTTCCATGCAATTATTTTCTTTTTCGCCCGTAAACTTCTATTTATGATAGTTTATGTGCATTTCTTTCCTCAATTTTATCACCATTATTTGCGCCTTCACAAAGTTTGACAATTTTAATTGCTAACATCATTGTGCATAATTCTACGTTGCAAATACAGCCAATTAGTCAGTCACCAGATTGATCGCACATGAAAAAGAACCATCGGCCAATGAATTTCTATTAAATAACTCAACTAGGTCTTTAACTTCATCTATCCTCTAGAGGTTATAGATGCGGATTACAAGGAATTGCGTGAAACTATATCGAATAAAACTGATGCTAAATTTTCAATGATTCACTGACTGACTTAGACACAGAACAATAACAACAACAACAAAACATGAACTCTAATAATAACAGCATAACACAATAAAATAACATAAACCAACAGAATTTACACGTAGTGACAATCTTTCCATTGACAACAGAAACCTTCTCCTAAAATTACAGGATTTGATAAGAATTTGTCTGTTGATCGTTGACGATAGGCTGGTTTTTGATAACTGGGTCCAGAGCAGACAAAACTCCATATTTTATAATGAGATTTAAGTAGTACATTGGTATCAACTATGCAATCTTCAAAAAATGCATGTAACAATGCATGACGTAATAATTGCTTATAATCTTGAAGAGTATTCATTTGACAATCATTCCATAAACAAATATTCGTTGAATTTTTTATATGACATCCCATTAAATGAACATGAAAACGAGTATAATTAGGGAATGATTGACCACAATCACCCCATTTACATTTAATGAATAATTCACTATCTGGAAGAAATAATAAAAATAAGTTAAGTAAACGCAGAATCTCGAGTTGTTCCAATAATTTGTTCTAGAATAAAAGTCTCTCAACGGTTAATTTGTACGGGTTCGTTTTACTTCAAGTTGGATGTCAATTAGAGAAACCGTGAAAATCAAGGAGTGCCAGATAGCTGTCTCATCCTAGCTCAGGACTCATCATCAGTACACACCCATGACCTCATCTGAGATCGAACTCACCATGACGTTTGGGTGTTACATGGCCAAGCTTATTGACCGTTCAGCCACTTGTAACAGAATCTAATGGCCCACAAATTCTAACTCCTGTCAATTCGCGAGTTTAGTGCGACCGCCTAACGATGTCATAAGCGAGTATTTGTGTCTTCACCTCCAACCTGGCAGACACCACTGGTCACGATTTCGAACTAGAACTTCAAGCAAATTCATACCGTAATCAGTTGCTAGCGATTATCAGATTGATATTCAAAATTTAGTCTACGGGGATTTGATTTGTTACAAGTTTGATCATGGACTGATATCACAGAGAGAATCATTGAAAACGACAGCTGGTTCGTCCTAGTTCGATACTCTTCAACGGAAAGAGCCCACAAACCCGTACGTGAACGAATCCAAGACCAAATCCGATTAACCTTAACTTCTGTCAATAAAATATGTGATATATTTATTCTTCCCCTTTACGGATTTTTCATGAATTTGAATGAAGCAAGAACAACCGTATGTGCAGAACAAGATGGTACCATCATTTCATTGACCTCTCAGCAGCTGCATACAGTCTAAGGAAATTTTTTAGATTTATATACAGAATAATCTAAACATACTTGCAAGTGTTACATAATCTCAGTTGATAAGATTTCAAGCTTAGCAAACGGTGCTCAGATAATGCACTTATAGTTTATACCCATAAGGTTCAAGTTTAAACAAAAGCTTGGAAACAATGACAGAAGGGTTAAACAATAAAGACAAGAGGTGAATAAGATGATGAGTAACTAATAAGTTGAGCAACAATATGGTGAGCTCAATTTAAATCATGAAAACATGAGACAAGCAAAGTTACACTGTATCGAAGAGGGGAGAGGTTAAACACAAAGACTACGTAATCAAACGAAAGACGGAGATAAAGAGGTCCGGTTACCAGAGCAAGGAATGACTGATAAATGCTTCTTTCTGAACACATAAATCGGGTCTCAGGTGTTTGATGGCAGTTGCTTCGGCAAACTTGAAGGGTACTGAACTATTTTGTCGATTGATAATTATGAAGGATTTCGTGGTGTTATGTCTGGTAATGACACCATTGTAAACCTTTGTTCCCTTGAGACTTAAGCTTTTTCGTACATGTTTAGAAGATCGGTGTGAGGGCTAGTGAGACTGCCGGGCTACTCAAACCTTGTTAAGTAGTGGGGATGTCCAACCTGTGACCCACTGGTTGGAATTCCAGCGCCTAGATCAACGGAGCTACAGCTTCGCTCATCTTACCATGGTAACTAAAACTATCCAAATCGTATGACTTCAGCTGTGTTTACACTATAAATGACGTCAAGATTACGAACGTATGAAGCCATACAATGTACATTACTGATTCCAGAGCGATAGCTGCTACCTTGAAGTAGTGGTCGGGCTTGCATATCGCAATGACCCAACAAACTACACTGGCTGGAACTATTGTTCCTGCAGGTCCTCCCATGCCAGGAAGGTTGTTAGGATAGCGATAAAACTAAAAGCAGTTACACTATGCTGGGGGTCTATAGGCGAAGTCGTACTACTGGGGAACAGGAATATAACTGCAGTGAGGAGTTTCCCACAGATGACCAGAATGCCAGCCAGCTATGCTGTCTCTCCACTGTGGAGAGAGGGGTAAGAAAAGGTCAACCCCAACATTTGTATTTCCCGACCTACTCTACGGTGGTCCGTAACTGGCGGTAAGTTTTCTAATACAGAAACCAAACCAAGAAACCAGTTCATACAGGCCGTGTGTGACCGGCCTCAAGTAGTTGTCCCCTGGGCTCTGCGGTCACGCAACACTAACCCTCTTTCTCTTTCAGGTACCCGAAGAATCAACCAACTTCCACGATGTGGGCAGCCGGGAAGTAACAACCACCCACACACTTCCACGAGCACACGGAGCCCCACCGAGCATCAATCTCCTTTACCCACATCACCTTCATCATTTCACTCTCCTACTACAGTTAGTACTATTCTTCAGACATTACTGATTGATAAGATTAAATGTATACTAATCATTAACAGTGCTCCACCTTGACACAATAGTAAGTTACCTCTCACACAACGCAAATACAGAAATAGAAAGAAAAATTTGAATTCATTTACAAAACAAACTATTCAGTTACAAGACAGAAGAAAATTTGAGCAAACAAAACTCTTTTGGATAATTTCCTCTCCTGAATTTAGTATTATGCATGCATATTTACATATAGGATATTCTAGAATAATCGTCATTACCAACAGTGGTGGTTTTTAGGTGATATTTATTTGTTAAGATCACAATGAAATTACAGTTCAACGAAGATGCATAAGTTATTATGAGCATAAAAATGGGATAGTAAATGGAATATAAAATAAAATTTGGGAAATCTCTGCAAAATTAAGAACCCGAATTTTCTTTTGTCTTCAAAAAGTTTGAATGAATAGTTTCGCTACATTCAGTTATAGGGAATAACATGACGAAATTAATGACATCTGCATGGGCAACTTACTATTTTCTACAATGCTGTCGATTACGGGTTTCTTCTCCATCGTTTTTAATCAATAAACCATAGAAGTCTGGAAAGGAATCACAAGCATACTTAGTAATACAATATTATACTATATACATATATATATATATATATACTCATCATGACAGCAGTTGTTTATACCGAAAAGTTGCCTTTATTCAACCGATAATATTAGGAAAAATAGAACTACTGTGGGAAACAGGCTGAAGTGATTCAACCAAGACATGGCAGCCACCCCGAGACAACCACTGACTATTAATCTCAGACGTGTAGGTTACATTCTCGAGATGATCACAGGAACTTATTGCTACAGAATCTAAGTGATATGGCTCACAATCAACCCCCGTGACGCATGTGTTTCTGAAGTCTACCTTTTCGATAACACATGTCTTTACTTTTTTTAGAGTACTCCACACCTTTTTAGTGATTTCATTCCTGCTCGTTTTACTTAAGATTATCATCTCTTGCATATGACAATTGGGATTAATTTGATTTAGTGGCAAGTCCTGTGATGATTCTATTATTCTTTCAATTTCCATGATAAAGTAAGTAACATAAGGGTAAAATTGAAACGTTTCGTCGATTTCAAAAGTCACATAATCCATTGATAAGAATTTTTAGTTGACTTAAAGATAATACCTGATAGTTAATGAACACTCATCATCAAGGTAACTTCATACAGAACTGGTTCAAGAAACAAGTTAGTGCTATCCTTCTATTGATTCCTAATGACTACATTCACCGGCTGTTTTTTTTAATATTTTCTCTTAGAAATTTAGTGTTAATCCATTTCCATATTTGTCTAGTCTACTCGGTAGGATTTTGATGCCTCGAAAGGCCTTCTCTCTGGCAAGTAATATGTAAGCAACATACAGCAGTAATGCTTTTAATTCTAAATATGGAAGATAGGTGGCAGACACAGTTATAAATGCCATTTTCAGTTAGCAAGTCTATTTACATCAATCACGTCGGCTTTTGTGTTTTAGGATAGAAGCAACACTTTCACCACATTGGACTCGGGATTAAAAAGCAGTTTAACCTATTTTCACGTAAGTATCACTTTCTCTAAAGTCTGTTAAATTGTTAAATGGTTGGAGGCAAGCAGCAAAATGCCCTGCCACCAGAATTCGCACTTGGCACTCCTCAGTCTGTCTGTCTGGATTCAACATAGAACTTGGCACCGAAGTGCAGCAGTTCGAGTTACCACGTTCCAAATAGCACACAAAGGTAGACAAGAAAATGAGTGAAGAGAATCAATAGAGTTTCGACAAGTATAAGAGTGAAACAGAATGAGTAATGGTAGAAAGGAACATGAGACTGAAGATTACAGAGACTGAATACATCTGCGCCATTGACAACGATTTTGAGCCATGTCACCTATTGTCTCCAGCGATTGATTCTTAGAGTCCTGAGGGCCCCAACCCGGAAGTCTGCATCTCCCTACCTGACTCAGTTTAACTGTTAGGGATTTCATGGATTGATGAGGCCATGTTTTTGTTTGGCCATCACCTACTCTTTTCCAACCTGCACCTATATCAGCTAGTAATGCCCGTCGGGGGAGGCGATGGTTAGGTATGCGCAGCACGTGATCTAGCCATCTCAATCTATGTAACTTTATAGCCTCTTCGATCGATTTTCCCTCTTTGCCCAACACTCTACGCCTAACGTCAACATTACTTACCTTATTATGCCACCTAACGTGAGAAAGAGATCGTAAACATCTATGATCAAAAACAGACAGCCTTTTCATGTCTTCAACTCGTATTGGCCATGTTTCAGAGCCATAGAGAAGGACGGAGCGAACTGCTGAGCAGTACACACGTCCCTTGGTTGATAGCCGGATGTCACGCCTACGCCAGAGACGGTATAAGTTAGCGAAAGCGGCCCGAGCTTTTTGGATCCGTGCTGAGATTTCGTCACCAATCAATCCGTTGGTGCTGATACAACTTCCAAAATAGGTGAAGTGGTCAACATGTTCTATCACTTCACTCCCTATCACTAAGCTAGGGGTTGACGTAGTCCAGTCCTGTAGCAGCATCTTACATTTTACAGGGGCGGATCGCATGCCAAACATACGAAGATTGCTGCTCAAGGTGTTCAGAAGATGCACTCCTCAGTGGTGTGTATCTGCAATCTTGAAGGAATTCGTGTGCCTTCCCAGATTCGAACCCGGGTCAGAGAAGTAACCACTGAGCTATTCGCAGTTGACCCCACGTAGAAGAGTAATAGATGCTTTGATCGGACACTAGAAACGCCTTGTTGACGAGTGCCGACGAGCAAGAGACGAAAGTTCAAGGCTTTTTGCTGATTGCTTCCAACCATTTAACAACCATCCAGAGTCGCTACATTGCAAACGTGATTGATAGAATTCAGTCTGCACCAAACGGGGGACTGGACGCATAACATTAGTTACTACCTAGAATTAACTCAAAGTCCCTTAGGCTTAGCATGAACGGACAGATAAAATACATAAATCATAGATATGATGTACTTACCAAAACATTGTCAATACACTAACTAGAATTTTTACACTCGTACTGAATTCACCACATAATAAAAATGACAAACAATAAATCTTTTGAACTGTACCAAGCACTTTACATAAGTGGAATCTCTACACATGAATTCTGAGAAACAAAATGAAAGCTTGTGTCACCAGGTTATTTGAAATACCAGAACAAAAAACGACCACTGTATATATATATATATATATATTTACTAAGGAATTAAGTGACGACTTCAAAATCTGAAATGATTTACGGCTTTTCTATATTGATCATAAAAAAATCAGCTACACAAGCGGCTCCGAAGAAATAGGAATCCAACGTATGTTCTCAAAACTACTTGCAGTTGAGAGGCTTATTCGGTATTTACCAACTCACACCACATCTAACCTCGATGACAAATCTGACTACATATTAAGGAGTGAATGTTCTGCACAATAGCCTAAGCTCTTATTCTACAGCGACACAATATGATTTTTTAAGTTAGAAAACGTAATGTTGTGCGTCTCTATTGCACAGCCGTAGTGGAACCACAGTATATGAGATTATACAAAATTCTGAGTCCATAGATAACTTGGGTCTCCCCTGACTGAGGTGTCTGGGAGATTGGTTACATTTGATGAATTATAGCTTCTCTAGATAAACTGAAACAATTACACTGAAAGTAAGTTAAGGATATCCAGAACAAGACACGAAGTCCTTAAGTGTTAGTCTGAACCATGGTGGCTAAGGTCCATAAAACAACCATAACACACAATTGAAGTTTCATTATGGATGGCTTAAATCAATCGTGGGGACACAGATGCATTCATACATGCTTTATCATTGTTTTATTTGTTGGCGCTCTATAACCATTTGTCGTATTTTAAATTTATCTTCTCCTTCATTACCTATCTGCCGACAGCACACACAGGCGAAAAGTGATACTTGGACCGATAAGAAGTGACGTTCAATATTGTGTTCCCGTCTGAATTCGTGTCCACTTATTTCCTGTTGCACGAAAATGAATCAGATGGTTGAGTCACATTACTTGTTTATTTACCAAATAAACATTGATATTCTCATTGATTTAAAATACTTAGTGTCCTTCAAAACATTGTTTCTCGCTTTGGTACAACTCAGGGAAGTTTCAACAGTGAAATTTTCCGCATTTTCATAAAGTGAGCATAATAATTAATTGAGCTTTTAACGTAGAAATGTGCACAAAAATACAACAGTTCAGGTAGCCTCAGTCTATACACCACACTAAGGTAGAACAGACAAAATCATAGCAACTACAATGAACGGAGATGCAAGGAAGGAAGAATAAGCATATGGTGCATGAGAATGTGATCGATCTGAGAGTTCATGAAGAGTAAATGCATCTGCTCTACTGACAACGATTTCTAGCTATCTCACCAATAGTTTCAAGCCATTGATCCTTAACATTTCAAATACCCCAGTCACAGACTCTGTACCCTGCTATGTGACTCAAATCAACAGTCAGATACGCCTTGAATGATGACACGTTTCAATGTACCCACCCCCAACTCCTTCCCACAGAAAAATGAGGTGTCTGATTAAATTAGATAAACTTACTCTTTACTGGAATCAACCCACAGTAGAGAATCCAGTATGTGACACGTTTTAATCACATAAGGATTCTAAATACAATGGCAAAAATCAGAAATGATTACAATATTACCAAAATGTACGGACTTGCTAGACCGACAACCACAACTGGTAGTGTCATTCACACCAGTTCACAATACACACACACACACACACACTAACAGATTATTTTACAAAATATTCTCTGTCAATAAACTTTTATTTTCTCTAGTCTCACAAAATTTATTCTTTCAAATCATACAGATTACAGAGATATTTTCTTAGTTATCTGGAGTTAAAATATAGTAACGAATGGATTCAGAGTAAATGACTAGTTGGAAATATCATTTTGATGTCTATTTTCGAAAAGAATCCATGGATGTCGGTTTTTCAATGAAATCAAAATGAACGGAATCTTCAGCTGCACTGGCTACTGCAAAAATATTCAGTGGAACAACTCTAACTTACAATTCTTGTCCACAGCTTCTATATAACTGTTTAATTTCTGTTTGAATAATTCAAGTGCCTCCTTTGTATAATCGGAGAACTCTGTCATTTCACTTGAAATATAACTAGGATTCTTCTACAGACAAAACAAAAACAAAAGGTCAACTGAGGGAGACTTTCAAATTTGTTTTAAAGTCTAGATTACTTCATACAGAATTCGACTAGCAGGTATACACCAATTCTATTTTTTATTGCGCTAAAAACATGAAATTCAAGGCTTTAATGAAGATGACAAATTATCAAACGAAACAGGTTAACTAACTTGACAATAACTACCAAACGCAACTGTCCATCACATGTCAAAGCTATACAAAGCAGTACTTCACATCTATATGTGTTCAGTAAGATGAGAATTTAGAAATAATTATTGCTACTATCTGATTCAGTAAAATCTGCTATATATAGCAGCTGAGTATTA